CAACTGGGTTCAAGAATTAAATGATGTCGCATGGCCGCAATAGCGGCCGCGCGGTTTTGGATTTCTGCTATTTTATTTATTAGCCCTGGAAGTATTTCTACTGAGAGTCAGATAATTAAGAGATTGGTGTCTGTGCTCTGGAGCCATGGCCGGAGAGCCGCTCGTGGGGGACAACTGGTGACCTCGGTAGGGCGTGAAGGACGAGCCCAGAGTGCCTCCCTTCCCATGAGGTTTTAGTCACCCCGTTACCACCGGCTCATACCTGGCTTTCCACCAGGCTCCCAAGCGGCTGCCATCTTTCTTTCCAAAGGGGAGAAGGCAGTTACTTATATTTGTTTATATTTGTTTGTGTTTGTTTCCACTTAAGCAAGTGGTCAGTGGTGTTTCATCCTTAAAGATGCTTTTAGTTTCAATGTCATGGAGGGTTCTGCCTACTTTTTCCTCCATGTAACTTATGGATTCAGGTCTGATATTGAGGTCTTTAATCCACTTTGATCTGACTTTTATGCCTGGTGTTAGTCAGAGGTTTGAGTTCGTTTTTTTGCAGGTAGCTGTCCAGTTTTCCCAGGACACTTGTTGAAGAAACTTTTCTTGTTCCACTTCACATTTCTTGCTCCTTTGTCAAAGATTAAGTGATCATATATTTGAGAGTCTGTGACAGAATATTTAACTTTGTTTCATTGGTCTGTGGATCTGTTTATAGCCCAGTACCATGATGTTTTAATTACTACTACTTCACAGTACAGTTTGAAGTTGGGAAAGGTGATACCACCCATTTTCTTTTTCCCAAAGATTGCTTTAGCTATTTGTGGGGGTTTATTGTTTCATCTGAATTTCAGGAGTGTTTTATCTATTTTTTGAAAAATATCATGGGTATACTGATAGGGGCTGCATTAAATCTGTATAGTGTTTGGGGCAGTATTGCCATTTTGATAATGAGAATCCTCCCTTCCATGATTAGGGGATGTGTTTCCATTTCCTACTGTCTTCTTTTATTTCTTGAAGTAGTGTTTTGTAATTTCCCTTGTATAGATCCTTCACCTCTTTAGTTAAAACGATTCACAGAGATACCACAAAGAAGAGAATTACAGGCTGATATCCCTTATGAGCAAAGATCCTCAACAAAATTGTAGCCAACAGAATCCAACCACTCATAAAAAAGATCACACACCATGACCAAGTAGGATTCATCCTGGGGATTCAAGGATGGTTTAACATTCGTAAGTCAATCAACATAATCCAGCATATCAATAAAAGAAAAGATAAAAACCATATGATCATATCAGTAGATGTGAATAGAAAGCAATTGGCAAGATCCAACACCCATTTATGATGCAATCTCTCAGCAAAATGGGCATTGAAGGAACTTTCCTCAATATAGTCAAAGCCATCTACCACAAACCCATGACAAACATCATTTTCAATGGTGAGAAATTAAAAGCCTCCCCTCTAAGATCAGGGACAAGACAAGGTAATTGCTCGCTCTCGCCACTTCTATTCAGTATAGTACTGGAAGTTCTGGCCATAGCAGTTAGGCAAGAAAAATATATCAAGCCTATATGAATAGGAAAGGAAGAGGTCAAGCCACCACTATTTGTGGATGATATGAGAACTACACTGAGAAATTCTGCAAAAAAGCTCATAGAAACAATAGGTTTACATAGTAAAGTGGCAGACTACAGAATTAACACCCAAATTCCAGGATTTTTCTATATACAAATAATGAAAGAGACGAAAGAGATATTAAAAAACTCCACAATAGAACCTCAGAAAATCAAGTACCTCAGAATCAGCTTATCTAAAGAGGTAAAGGATCTATACAGGGGAAATTGCAAAACTCTAGTTTAAGAAATAAAAGGGGACTCTAGAAAATGGAGACACATCCCCTGCTCATGGGTAGGGAGGATTAGCATTATCAAAATGGCAATAGTCCCCAAAGCATTATACAGATTTAATGCAGTCCCTATCAGGATACCCAATGACATTCTTCAAAGAAATAGACAAAACACTCCTGAAATTCATATGGAAAAATAAACTATATTAATGGTACTACATTAAACTAAGAATCTTCTGCACCTCAAAAGAAACAGTGATCAAAATACAGAGAGATGCCATGGAATGGAATATTTACCCAATACCCATCTAATAAGGGATTAATACCCAGGATATATTAGAATTAGTCACTAGTAGAATTATACAAGAAAAAACCTCCAAGCCTATCAAAAAATGGGGAGATAAAAATGAACAGAAGCTTCCAGAAAAAAGAAATGCAAATGGCAAAAAAGGTACATGAAAAAATGCTCTATGTTGCTAATCATCAGGGAGAGGCAAATCAAAACAACAATGAGATATCATCTCACACTACAGAGACTGGCACATATTCAAAAGAACAAAGAAACCAGTTTTGGTGTGGATGTGGGGAAAAAGGAAGCTCTTTCACTGTTGGTGGGAATGCCGACTGGTCCAGCCTTTTTGGAAAACAATATGGGCATTACTTCACGATCTAGAAATTGAGCTTCCATATGACCCCACAATACCTCTTCTGGGAATATGTCCTGAGGGTGCAAAAAAGCAGAGCAGAAATGAAATCTGCACCTATGTGTTCATTGCAGCACTGTTCACAATATCAAGAATATGGAAAACAACCCGACTGCCCCAAAACAGACAACTGGTTAAAGAAACTTTGGTACACCTACACAATGGAATACTATGCAGCTGTTAGGAAAGATGAAGTCATGAAATTTACTTATAAGTGGATTGCTATGTAGAGTATCATGCTAAGTAAAATGAGTCAGAAGGAGAGGGACAGACATAGAATGACTGCACTCATTTGTGAACTATAAAATAACATAATATGAAACTGACACCCAAGGACAGTAAACACAAAGGCCAGGAAGATTGCTCGATTGGAAGCCTTCCTCATGAGCTGGGAGAGAATGCATATGGGATAGAGAAGGGATCACTAAGACAATGATGGTTGGAGGGAGCTCTCAGGATGGGATATGTGTGCTGAAAGTAGAAAAAGGACCAAACGTGATAGCCTCTCAGTATCTGTGTTGCAAACCATAATGCCCCAAAGTAGAGAGAGAGTATGAGGGAAATTGTCTGCCACAGAGACAGGGTGAGGGCTTATAAGGGGCGGGGGTATACTAGGGACATTGATAGTGGAGAATGTGCACTGGTAGAGGGATGGGTGTTAGATCATTGCATGACTGAAATTCAAACAGGAAAGCTTTGTAACTGTATCTGACAGTGATTCAATAAAAAAAAAAGACTAAATGTTATAGCGTAAAGGAATACATACTGGTGGGGGTGGGGGCACAAGAAAACCTTAAAAGTGGGTCTGAAAGTCAGACTATACTTTTGTTTGTTTCTATTTCAAGCCATCCACAGTGACTTAAAGGCTTATTCCTGGTTCACTGGCACTGAGGAATCACTCCTTGCTGTGCTTGGGGGAACCATGTATGGTGCTGGAGATTCTATCTCTCTTGCCCAGAATACAAGATAACTGAGCAAGTTGGGGCTTCAATGCAGTTGACTGACAATTTTTTTCCTTTTTTTAAATTATATTTTTAATGGAATCACCATGAGATACAGTTACAAAACTTTCATGTTTGAGTTTCAGTCATACAATGATTGAATACCCATCCCTCCACCAGTGCACATTTTCCACCATAATATCCCCAGTATCCCCCACCCTCCACCCACCACCACCATCCCAACCCTTCCCCGTACTCTATGGCAGACAATTTCCCCCTTACTCTGTCTCTACTTTTGGGCATTATGTTTTGCAATATAGATACTGAGAGGCTATCACATTTGGACCTTTATCTACTCTCAGCCTCTCAGCAACATCTCCATCCCGAATGATCCCTCCAACCATCACTGACTTAGTGATCCCTTCTCTAAGGGATCATGTTTGGTCCTTTTTCTACTTTCAGCACACATATCCCATCCTGACTGACATTCCAGCTGACTTCTCCCCCAGCTCATAATGCAGGCTTCCAACTATGGAGCAATATTCTGGCCCTTGTCTCTACTGTCCTTGGGTGTCAGTCTCATATTGTGTTAGAAATTTTGCTTTTAAACCTATCATTTTATCATTAAACTATTTTTTCATTGTAAGAAAATGGGAAAGTTAAACAATATATAATAAATATTCTATATATAAAATATTTATTAGATATTGTATGTGTGTGTCAGTGAGTGTGTGTGTGTGTGTGTGTGTGTGTGTATAGCAGGTACAGATTCCTTTTTTTTTTAATTTTTTATTAGTGAAACACCATTAGGTACAGTTGTAGACTTAAAATTTTTTGTGCTTGGGTTTCAGTTATACAATGATTGAGTACCCATCCCTCCACCAGTGCCCATTCTCCACCTCCAGTGCTCCCAGTATCCCTCCCACCGCCCCAATCCCCCATCCCACCCCACCTCTGTGGCAAGGCATTCCCTTTTGTTTTCTCTCTCCTTTTGGGTGCTGTGGTTTGCAAAAGAGGCATTGAGTGGCAATCATGTTCAGTCTATAGTCTACTTTCAGCATGCATCTCTCATCCTGGGAGGATCCTCCCAACACCCTTTATTTGGTGCTCCCTTCTCTATCTGAGTTGCCTTTTCCCATAGCATATGCGGCTGGCCTCCAAGCCATGGAGTGAACCTCCTCGTACTTATCTCGGCTATTCTTGGCTGTTAGGACTGACAATTTTTTTTACCTTAGTAGTGGGGTCAAAGATGTTGACTTTAATCTCATTTAGTTAACTATACACATCTATACAGTTTTCTGCATGTATCTTTTCTTTTGAAAGAAATAACAATAAAGTAACAATTCGTGTAGTATTAAAGTTATACTCAGAGGGGAATATATAATTTCAAGGATGTGTATTAAAAAAGAAGCTAGGTGATACTTAGTAAATTAAGTTAAAGAAAACATAACAAGTTTAAAAAGGTAGAGTGAGGGGAATAATAAATATAGGAACAGACATTTAACATAAACATTAAGCTATATACTTACCAGGCAGGGAAGATACCATAATCACAAAGGTGGTTTTCCCAGGGCAAGGCTTATCCATTGCCCTCTGGATGTACTGACCCCTGCGATTTCCCCAAATGTGGGAAGCTCGACTGCATAATTTGTGGTAGTGGGGGACTGTGTTCACACTCTCCCCTGTATAAAAAAAAAAAGCTAGAAAACCTTTAAAGCCTAAGTTAATCATTGGAATAAATTGGAAAATAAAGAAGTGTTGGTGAGATTGAACAAATAGAAGTGACATATATAAATAATTACATAGATGACAAAATAATATAATAGAAAACTTTATGCTAACAAAACTTGAAGACTTAAGTTAATGGGAACATTTTCTGAACTCAGCCAGGGTAGAATATGATTCAAGATCGAGGGGACAGCATTACCAGGAGTTACTCCTGTGCACAGAGCCAGCAGTCAGCCTGAGCACTGCCAGGTGTGACCCTACCCCAAACTAAACAAGACAAGGTAGGAAGATGATGGGATTGGTGTTGGAATACTGAATGTACTAAATCATAATGAACAACTTTATAAAAACTAAAATTAAAAAAAGAGCATCAGGTTGCTGAGATAGCAAAACAAACAAACAAACAAAAACAAGACAAAGAAAACCCAGAAAACATTTTTCTTATAACTATTTATAGAATTAAGTATTTAAATATTTTCCTTAATATAAATTATTATATTCAGAATGTTTGCCAATATTTGCCAAAATACAAGATCAGGTCTACTGTGTATCTTTTACACTGGCAGTATCTGGTTATAAAATCATTTTTAACTGTATTAAAGTTGAAAGGAGCCTAATTAGCAGCATTCTTTTTCTCAGTCGGAACCAGACCAAACAGTAGAAAGAAAGAGGCTGAAACACTTTGATTATTAATAACATTGATTTTTGAGAGTGTGACTTACATTTATACATAAGAGTGATTCATAAGCCTGAATTTCAGAATTAGACAGCCTTATCCAATAAGTCTCTAGCAGCATAGGAACTACAAAAGGCGCTCCTATAGAGAAGCATCGTTTCTGTTAAGCTTTCTGCATGGCTTACAGTAATTAAGACCACATGTTCTCATAGACTGAGCAGCTCCCAGGAGGAAGGGAAGAAGGGGCTGAGCAAGAAAGCCAAGTTTGTCCTTCCAAGCTATTAATCAGATTATGTGGCTTCTCCTCCCCCCAGACCAGTGTGAGTGAGGAGTGAATACAGGTCAGAATTGTTTTGCAGGTGATGTTCCCATCTCGTGAAGGAAATATAAGAGGAGAAGCAGTTCCTCCCTCTTTTCCTCCAAAAAAGAAGCTATATAAATATTCGAGCTCCCTGCAAATGTCCTGTCTCTAGCAATATATGTAATAAAAGATATGCAAGATCTTTATGAAGAGGCACATAAAAATGTATTGTAAGATGCTCTGAAAAAAAAAACTAAATAAATTGAGACACTTGTCACAGACCTAGCAGGCCGTCTCAACATTTTAGATATTCATTTTCCTACAATTAAGCCACAAAAATGGTGCAATACTTATAAAAATCTCAAAGAGGTCTCAGGGAGTTTAGTTAGCTACTTCTAATATCCAGATGTATGAACAAAAAGCCATACATATCAAAATGCACTTCTGAAAAAGAAGTCAAGGTAGATGACTTTCTCTGCCAGGTCACGTATTATTTCAAGCTATGGTAATTAAGATGCTGGAATAGGAAAGTATTTGTTCCTAAGAAGACCAGCTAGAGAGCTCTGCAACAAGCTTCTGCATGTCTGATACAAACCCACTCTATGAACAGCAGGCCTTGAAGATTAGCTGGGAAGAGAGGAATCATTTGGCATGCGACATTGAGACAATTGGTTGTCCATGTGGAAAATATAATTGGCTCTCTAAAGCATATGCAAATTCTAAACAAGTGCAGGACTTGAATTGAAAAGGGAAAACATTAATTTTTTCAAAAATAAAAATCTTAAAAAATGTTTGCACTTTGGGAGTGGGAATGGTTATTTTAATATTCAAAGGGGAAAATGCACAAAAATTAGATCAATAAAACTGATCTAATTGCTTTAAGCAAAGGATGTGACTCTGCAGTAGACAACTTACCTCGAAGGTGTGAGGTTCCTGGTTTGATCCCCAAGACCACACACATACATACACAAAAATAGACTACCTTATAATATAAATCATTTAGTTCAAAAGAAAGTAAAATATCATTCATAAATTATTAGAAAATAATTACAACATTAACCAAAAATATTATCTAGCTTTCATTAAACCTTTTTGTAAATTAAGAACTGAGTAGGGAAAAAACTGGGCAATAATATAAAACCTTTTATAGAGAAGAAATAAGTTGTTCAGCAGCATAAGTATTATGACAATTAACCAGATCTTCAGATCACCTAGGTTTACAAAATGAATAAATCATACAGTACTAAGTACTATCAGGAGTGTGGAACAACGAAAACATTCAGACATTGTTAGTTGGATCATAAATCAGTGCAACCACATTGGAAATCCATTTGACATTCCTTCGAACAGCTGAAGGTGCATATATTTTGTGAAATAGGAATTCTACATCAAAGTTTGTTTCCTGGAGAACCTGAACAAGTGCACAGGGAACCAGAGATGAGATTATTAATGCATCATTGTTTGTAGCAGTAAAAGCTGGAAAGAGCACAAAATCCAACAATGCTGTGTGAATAACTAAATTGTAGCACATGCAGGTGATGAAATACTACCAATGTGAAAGTGAATGAGCCATAATCATATGCATTAACACTGATAAATCTCATGTTGAGTGAAAAATAGAAAGTCATAAAAGACAATACAATAAGATGTATACATAAAAGACAATACAACAATACAATAAGATTCAATTATCATAAGTACAACAATTTAAACTGAACAAGTTATGGTGGGGGTAGATAGGTGTGTAAAAATATAAAGAAAAAAAGGGATGAATGTGTTGTTTGTTTCTGCTTGCTTTTGTTTTGGTGGATAGAATTCCACCCAGGTGAAATATGTCCAGGCAAGTGCCCTACCTGTTGTACTATCACCCTGGCTCTAAGGACAAATAACAATACACTCAGAACTGCCTCATGGACAGGGGTAGGGGAAAAGCTCACCTAGAATATCAGGTACTGCCAGAAATTTTAAGGTACCAGCCTTAAAACAAAGCGGTGCATTTATTTAATAAATAATCTTTATGTAGCACACATAAATTATACACTTTTATTTGTAATACAATCTATTTTCTTTAAAGATGAAAGACCATGCTCTGAAAATGATACCCTAAAAGATTCACATAAAAATTTTAACAAATTACTTGGCAGGTTTGGGGAAATGCAAGAAGATGAGATTCTATACCAAAGCAACAGAAAATTGTAAAGAGACAACAGACTGTGAGATGTGTTAAAAACAAAAAAGAAATAGAGAAGCCATGTAAGCCAAACCCTGCTGAGACTTAATCCCTAACCTAATCACAATTTCTGCCTCTCCTCAAAGTGGAATTTTAAGCTAATCAATTTGGGGTTTTCTCTCATCACTAGTGAGGTGACTTAAATGATAAAAAATGCCTGCCTTTCCCTAATTGAAAGTAGCTTTGTCAGAAGGTTCCCTCTTCTAACTTGATTATAAAAAATTTCATTTTGTATAACTCCTTGTAGAGCCTTACAATTTGTTTAATGGGATGTTGCCCAATTTGTCAGCCACTTAATAAAGCCAGTTAGATCTCCAAGTGTATCCAGATACATTTTGGTTTGTAACAGACAAGAAGACAGAAGTTTGAGATTCAAAGACATAGTACAAAAAGACATAAGTTTGGAAGGGTGAGATAATTTTTAAAATTAAGAAAAATTAATATGCAATAGCTAGTAAAAATTCATTTGGAAGCAATCAGGGGATGATTTTGTAGTCCAGGAAACAACCAACAATGTAAAGAACAAACTTAAAACCTCCCAAAAGTTATATGAAAGAGACGAAGAAATGAAACTGATATGAGGAAATAGATTGGATGAGTAAGGTTTCCTCTTTCAATTCTTCCTGGACCTCTCCAGGAACAGTTTTAATGTCTGTCTCCAGAGCTTCCATGCCAACCTACATGTCAATTGAAGTATTTATCTCACTAAGTGTTTTTGTTTGCTTGCCAACATCTCCTGTCTTTGAGTTAGTTTCTTTCTTTTCTTTTCTGCCCCGAGGTTAGTTTCTAATATATAGAATCTCTCGTATTTATGATTTATTACCCAGCGTCTGTGAGGGTTGCTATGTAATAACATCTGTGTCCTTCAGGGTGCAACCAATCGTGTCTAGTGGAAAGTCCTACTCAAAATAGCTTAGACTAAGCATCAGCAAACTGCAGTTCACAGACCAAATCCACCCTGCTGCCTGTTTTATAAATGTTTCATCGATACACAGTCACTCTAATTCATTTATGTACTATGTATGCTTCATGCTACAATGACAGAGTTGCTATAGAGAGCATATGATCTGCAAAGAATATTTACATTCTGCTCCTTTACAGATAAAAGTTGGCAATAATGGAATTTATTATATTAGAGATAATGAATTTCAGAGGCATTATGATATCTCTTTCATAACCAGCATGTTAGTTACCTTCTGGTCAAAAGTTGGCTGCCAGAGTGCCAGGTTGAATGCCTAGAGGAAAGAAAGGACGACTCTTGTGTTTCTTTAAAGAAATTAATAAAGATACTCCACCCCCCACTTTCAGAAAATTTTATCTTACTTCTTATTGGTCAAAGGTGACTATATCACCCCTAAACTACTCCCTAACTCAACAGCTAATATGATACAAAGAAGCTATGATTGCTCTGCAACAAGCAGAATTGATGGAAGAAGAGATGCTAAAAACAAAATTGGGATTCTGTGAGCACTAGGAAGAGGAAGAAGAAAGAGGCTACTGACTGTGCAGTCACATTGTACATTTTAAACCGCAATAAACATTTGTTGCGTTAACTACTGTAAATGAAAGGTCTGACATTTGAATAGTTGATGTTTCTAAGTAGACTAGAAAAAAAGGGAAAAAAAGAATTAATTGAAGGTGTAATAAAAGAAAATGAAAGAAACTTTTTCTGTTCTGGAAAAAATCTATTGTATGCAAATTATAAAAGTTTATTGTTTTCCAGGAAAAGAAAAACAATAGTGTTTCTTGA